AATATATTACTATTTTCGATTCAATGCTATCAATGCTACTACTGCTAATAAATATTAATAAATCTTTATTTTTAAAGGAATAATCACATTTTTATTTTTTTTTATTTTTTACAGTAAACCTCTGTTGTGCAGCACTTTGTTTGCCAAAAAATAAAAGGGTTTAATTTTCATTCGTTTAAAATAAATTAAATTAATGTTTTATGCCTTCATCTAATTATCAGGAAAAAAAAACACCCTACACGAAAAAAAGAATAGGTTTAAAATACAGGCCTGTGGCTCTTAATTTCTTTTTATTAATTCACCATTTGTAAACTGATGCTTACTGTTACTGTTCATTTTTTTTTAGAAATATCAATAACATTTGTATTAAAACTATATTCACTGAATGTAATAAAAAAAATAAAATAAAAAAAATCGAGAATCGAATCAAGAATCGAATCAAATCGAATTGAGAGCTTGCGAATCGGAATCGGGACATCTGAATCGATACCCAGCCCTAGCGTTCAACGAGATGTGATTCAGCATCCGTACCTGGATCTGGGTCCTCCAGCTTCTCTTTGAGGCGTGGGAAGGCAGGACGAAGGGACTCGGGGTACTTCAGGAACACTTTGTACATGATCAGCACCGCCTTCTTGCGAATGTACGGCTTAGTGTGGGACATCTGAGATGGATGAAGGGTGAGACTGAATGAATGTGTGCTCAGCGTCATTATTTGCCTGAAGTAAACACTGTGAATGGATTTACCAAAGTCATGATGTCATTGGCCAGGTCACGCGCAAGGTCAGGGGTCACGAAGCAGGAAAGGCCAGTCAGAGCCACGCCGGTGTCATACTGGTTGGGACTACTGAGATCCTGTGGAGAGATGATAAAGCATCCTACAGCAATCAGCAGGCTTTTTATAGTTAACTACAACTAAAACTGAAACTAAAAATAAAACCATTAAAAACATTTTATTTACTTGAAAAAAAAAATTATAGTAAAAACATTTTTTTTAATGGTTTTATTTTTAGTTTTATATATATATATATATATTTTTTTTTTTTTAAATTCAAATATAATTTTTTATATAAATAAAATTAAAACACTATTTCAGCTAGTTGCCAAGGCACCGTTTCTCATCTTAATTTAGTTTAAACTGATGTACTAAATTAACTAAAAACAATAATAGTATCTCAGTGATACTGAAATATCTGGCAACCAGCGTAATCAAAACAAAAAGAGGTGAAGGGGAAGTTTAAATCGCACCTTGCGGATCTGATTTGTCGTCAGCATGATGACATCAGTGCCCTCGTGAAAGCATTGCGATGCTGCAAGGTAGCCAATTCGCTGAAAACAAGAGACGAAAGAGACATTTATGAACCAGGGTTGCTAAAAAAAATTTTTTTAATTGTTTAATTGAAATAAAGTTGAAAAAATAAAACATAAAGATTAGATTAAAAAATTTAAATATCTTTTAGAAGCGTCCTCAAGTTTAAATACTACAATTACTAAAACTGAAAAAAATATATATATAAAAAAAAACTGTAACACTTTACTATGGTTCTGTTAGTAACTAACACTGAGCAAAACATTTGGTACAGCATCTAATAATCTTTGTTAATATTAGTTTATTGTTCATTGTTCATGTTAGCACAGGTCTTTAAATAATATTAACAGTTATAACATTTGATAGTAATAATGTATCAGTAATGATGAAATTAACATTAAGATAATTAACAAATTAAGAAATATTTTTATTGTTAGTTCATGTTAATTAATATTAACAAATGGAACTTATCGTATTAAGTCTTTCAAACCAAAAACACCAAAAAAATTTTTCAAAAAATGACAAAAGCACAAAATTACTATGACTTGAATTAAAATGCAATGAGTCATATGTGAACCAGTATTGCAGTACAAATAAGTACAACTAAAATTAAAAGTAAAATAAATATTAAACTACTGAAAGTTGTTTTCAGTCAGTGAAATAATTGGAAATAAAAAATACTAATAATACAGACTTATAAAATATAACCATAACTTTGCTATAAGGTCCTAAACAATACTAAAATAGCATATAAATAATAAAGATGTTGTGAACCTCTGGACCTGGTCTGACTGAGCGCTAATATTATTTTCGACGTCACCTCTCACCTTGTATGTGAATTTGGAGGAGCTCATCACCTCCACGATGTTGAACGCAGCCCAACTGACATCATAGCCAAGCATCTGCAACTGTTAGGAGGAGAAAGCAAAAGAATAAGTGACGGCTTGAGCTCAAAGCATTATGAAGCAGATCAGAGAGGATATAAACGATGGACGCTCTTACGTAGGTGAGCTTGCAGACTGCATTGGCTTTAACAGCGATGTTGTCCTGTTTGAGTTCTTGTTTGATCTCATCGATGCATGTCGAGATGTATTTGGCCTGTAGAAGGCACAGGAAGTATTGTTAGAAAGAGTGAGACAAAAATACAAAAAGACAATGCTCTAACATGACAGCCCGGGGCATCGTTTAGCTTCCTGTTGTCAGCAGCATCTATCAAATCACTACCTGAACTTAACCGAAATATACATCTTAAACTGAAACTTTAACAGAGTGTGCTTTGCCATATTTCTAACAGAAAGTATATCTAGATAAGCATTTATCAAAACGATATATAGGTGATGATGATAGTTCATCTGAATGATGTCATCGTTGTGTTGTTACAAACCCATTTTTTTTCCTCGTTAAAAGTAAAAAGACATATTTAGCACAATAGTTCAAGCTGCTCTTTTCCATATCATTAAAGTGAATGGAGACCAGCAGCACAAAGGACTGAAATAATAATAAAATAAAATATTTTATATATTATAATATACTAAAACTTATTTCTAGTTGCCAAAGCAAAATTGATCATGTTCATTTAGTGTAACTTGAGGTACTAAAATAACTAAAACTGAAATAAAATACTATACAGACATATTTGTTTATAAAAAAAAAAACACTCAAAACAAAATCATTAACACTTTTAATAAAATAAAATTAAAACAGAAAATATAAAAATGAATTCAAACTAGTAATTAAACACTAAAACTGTACCTCAATGATACCAAAATCAGACTGGGTCGGTCATTCTGCCAAATAATTATTTTGTGTTTTACAGCGAGAAAAATAAATAAATAAATAATATGGGTTTAGAAGTGACATAAGGGCTAATAAACGACAATTTAAATTTTCTTGCATTTTTTAAATGCCTGATTTCACTTGAAACAAGCGATTACATAGTATTTGCCGTCAAAATATTATTATGTGTTAATTATAGAATTAACAAAATAATAATGTTTGTAGATCATGTTCTATTAGTTCTACAGCTTCAGTTTCGGAACTTTCATGCTTAGTAACACATACAGCTGTTCCCTCACCACAGTGCAACACCCCTTTCAAACAGTGTCGCGTTCCGAACGTTGTTTAAGTGACATACACTGGTATTGCGGTATTTTAAAAATTTATATCATAACAAAAATAAACACCGGTATTCGGTATGAACCGGTATACCGCCCAGCACTAAGTGAAGGTTCTCTTTAGAAGATTTTTCAGCCCACATCTCTGCAAAACCCTTGTGAATGATGCATTATGGGTAATTTAAGCCCAGAGAGACTAAAAAAACAATGCAAACAAAGGTTTTCAAGAGTGATTTCTGGTCACGTCTTTACAAAATTCTTGTGAATGGTGCATTATGGGTAATTCCCACCCACTGAGACTGAAAATATGGTGTAAAAGAAGGTTCTTCAGAAGGTTTGTCACATCTTTCCAAAATTCATATGAATTGTGCATTATGGGTGATTTTCACGAAGTAAAATTTTATTTATGAAGTAAATGAAGGTTCAACGCATGATTTTCCAGACACATCTTTAAGTCCTTGTGAATAATGCATTATGGGTAATTTAAAGGGTTAGTTCACCCAAAAATGAAAATTAGCTTCCGGTTTACTCACCCTCGAAGCATCCTAGGTGTATATGACTTTCTTCTTTCAAATCCCGGGGGGCAAAAAATCCGGTTGGGCCGTGGGAATGCAGACCTGTAGTCAGCGGGTGTTGCAGTTGAACAGTCCACAAGTCGTCAAATAAAGCACGCGCATTCATAATAAAACGTGCCGCAGACGGCTCCGGGGGATGAATAAAGGCCTTCTGTAGTGAATCCATGCGTTTTTGTAAGAAAAATATCTATATTTCAAACGTAATAAACATTTTTCTCTCACTTCCGTTATCCGTCATACGCGGAAGTCGTTCCGCCGGAAGGCGTATGACGTATGCGCAGCGCGCGCGCCTCTGACACATGCTAGTCTCACGAGTTTGTTTATAGGAGCAAAGGAAGCAAAGTTTCCTTACTTTAGCAAAGGAAAACCAGTCTCCTCTTGGTTTATATCGAAATCCTCCGACATTTTTCTTTGCAAATCCTCGGTTTGTATTTCTAATTCGTGGCCGGAGTTTTGTTTTGTTCTCTCTCCGCATTCGTCACTAATCACACAACGCCG